TGCTATCGCTCTTGTATTCTGGTTATTTCCATTTATTTCCTTGTTCAATTTTTTTGGTAATGTTATTTAGGTAGAACTTTCAGAATAGTACATTTTATTTTTTTTTATTTTATTTTGGGACATACCCAGTGGTTCTTAAACATTGCTCCTACTGCAGTGCTTTGGGGACCATGTAGTGCCAGTGATCAAACCTGGGGCTCCTACAGACAAAACAGGTGTTCCAGCTCTTTACACTATCACCCCAATTTGTACGTTTTAAATAATTGAATTGAAAGGTTTGTGTAGGAGGCTAAATAATGCCCTCCAAAAATACCACATCCTGTATTGGAACCTGCACATATTGACTGTAGCACTGTAGCACTGTTCTCCCGCTGTTCATCGATTTGCTTGAGCGGGCCCAGTAACATCTCCATTGTGAGACTTGTTGTTACTGTGTTTGGCATATAGAATTCGCTATGGAGAGCTTGCCAGGCTTTGCCGAGCGGGCGAGATACTCTCGGTAGCTTGCCAGGCTCTCCGAGAAGGGCAGAGGAATCGAATCTGGGCCAACCGAGGCAGCTGCTACAAGGCAAACACCTTACCTTACCTGCTGTGCTATGCTCCAGTCCTGTAAATATTGATATATATGGAGAAAAGAGATTAAATTAAGGTGAGGTGAGATTATCCTAGATTATCCAGGATTATCTAAATGTAATCACATTCCTTAGAAGAAAGTTCTCAGAAGAGGAGGGGGCAGAGTGATCACAGACTCAGAGACTGGTGTTGCAGCTCAAAGAATATCAACAGCAACCAAAAGTGAAAGAGGAATTTTCTCCTACACCCTTTGGTAAATTAAATTTGGGACTCTACATTTACTAATTCATTTAACCTTAATTACCTTCTATAGATCTTATTTGTTTGTTTAATTGTTTGTTTTTGGTCTGGGGGCCACACCCACCAGTATTCAGGGCTTCCTCCTGATTCTGTATTCAAAGATCACTCCTGGTGGGCTTGGGGGACCATATACGGCCCCCCATATAGGGGTAGAATCTGGGTTGGCTGCATGTAGGATGAGTGCCCCACTTTTTGTACTATCACTCTGGCCCTGTATATCTTATTTCCTAATAAAATCATGTTAGAAATAAGAGCCTCAATATGTGAATGGGGGATATAATGGAGTCCAAATCAAGCTGTAAACAAGATTTACATGTAGATATTATACTATATTTATGGTGAATAATAAGAAACCAAGAGTCCAATAATAAATTATTTTTTAAATTATAATTATGTAATAGGATATCATGTAGTCATTAAAACTAATTGTGAATTAAAAAATGTCTCTTCCTGAGGCCAGAGTCATATGCCAGATGGTAGGGCACTTACCTTGCATGTGGCTGACCCGGGTTCCAACCCCAGTACCTCATATGGTGCCCTGAGCACTGCCAGGAATTATCAGAGTGCAGAACTAACAAATTTTGAGCACAGCCTGATGTGGCCCAAAATTTCTCTGCCTTGTACTTTCTATTTTAAATTTCATAAAGTGAATCTAATCCTTTCTTATTTAGGTATATAAATAATAAAATTTATGTATCACTTTTATATTTTAAAAATAAGAAAATTTACTAAATTGTCAAATTTTAGGAAAACTAGTGTAAGACAGAAGCATCAAGTACATGCACCAAGACCATAAATGTCAAGACCTTGTAAACATATTACTTTAACTATAATTTAAAAAAATCAAATGATACCTAGAATCATGGCCTTGTAAAAGAAATATAAATTATGTTTATTACTATATTAAATCTACCGAGAGTATCTTGCCCACATGGCAAGGCCTGGCAAGCTCCCCATTGTAGGATAACACTGTTTTGTCCTTCCTCAGGTAGCTTAGGTCACACCCAACCCAGTGCTCCTGAGTCACTACCATTCCTCTGTTTATCTGTAAACTCTTCTCTGTGCTCTCCTCCTCAGCCAGTTAATCACCTTTTCTCCCTAATCAGATTCTGTTAGCTTGTAAAATCAGATCATTCTAAGGACACTGAACTTGTATTGTAAGCAATGTCCTTTCTGTATGGACACAGGAAGACAGTTAATTTTATACTTTGTAACTTGGGAGTTGATTGACTCTGAGTAATATTTACTCCTGGGCATCTGCTTTCTTGACTCAGTTGTCCTTAGTTCCTAGCACCCCAAAAGCAGGGTCCCGACGAGGGATTGAATGGACCCAGGACAAGCTGTGAGCTACCCTGGCATCGAAATGGGCCAGGCCAAAGCGCCACAATACTCAACTATAAGTTGAAGGCATGATCATGGACAAATGCTGTCATGATCCAAAAGTAAGTAACGATGGGACTAGGACCCTGCTGGGGCTAGGAAGGCTAACCTGGCCTGAGGACTGCATAGTGAGATGTTTATATCTCTTACTGTACTCACATAGAATGACATGCTAGAAATATTAGAAGTAGATTTACTACAACTATTTAAGTAGATTACTGGCTGAGGAAAGAATACACCCTTATTAGGATCCCACCCTTGAGCGGATCTCCTAGTAATCTGGAGTAATCTCTTTAGATGAGATTTTATCCTTGAGTTAATCTCCAGGATGAGTGGTCTTACCTCTCTTTGTTGATTTGTTAATGTTCAACCCACCTTTGTGTCACCACCCTACATGACTGCTATGTAAACTAAGAATGTAAGCTTGGAGAGAGTCAGAAGTGAGAGAGCTCGCTCCAGAGATCCAGAATCGGAGTCAGGAGAAAGGGTTCCAGATTGGGGCCCAGGAGAGAAGGAGGCAGAGGAGAGACAGGAGTGAAGATTGGAATAAGCTACAATTGATATCGACCAGCCTGGCCCTCATTTCTTCCTTCGTATGCCCTTGGCCAACAGCCGTCCTGATCTAGGCCACACACAGCAGCTCAAGAGCACTGAATGCGGGCGGTGAGATAGAGCCGTCCAGAGAGTCCGCGAACACACAACCTTCGGCGTGCTAAGATTTTACACCCCATGACATATTCAATATGCCAAAAACAGTAACAACAAGTTTCACAATTTTTTGTGAGACATTACCGGTGTCCGCTCGAGCTAATTGATGAACATACAGTGCTACTATATTAAAGTAAGCCTTGACTTTTTTGAACTATTTTAATATTATAGCTTGTTCTTTTGCATATCATCCCCTGAATAACTTGTTTCTTTTGTATTTTTTTGTGTTTAATTTAGTTGACTGAATGACAACTTGAAGACACCATTGAAAGGAAATCCTTAGTATGCATGGTTTTTAGGAGATAACACAGCTCTGCATCAAACCATAGAGGAAACAGAGGCAAAGCAGAAAGGGAAAGCCTTAATTGCATTTTCCTCAGGAAAAAAAGACGGGATAGGGTAAACAGTTCCAAATTGGCTAGTTTGAATTATTCTGGTCTCCGGAGCATAGGAACTGTTCCTCATTGTGTGGTAGCTGGCCTTTGGGTTGATTTAGAGCAGAGGAAATATTAGCCTCATAAGAAAGATTTAGATAAGATGTTTCAAGTAATGAATTGTGGGAGTAATTTAATGGCCAAACTAATTTAAAGTTGTTTAAATTACCCCCCCACATTAGTTTGACCCTATGACTAATAGACAAATATAGGATCTAGGAAAATGAAGAATAATATTGCTTAGTTATTTTCTGTCTAGTCATTATTTCAAAAGCAGTTCCAGAAATTATTGCCAATAATCTTTTAATAATGTAGTCATTACCACTAATGGAGTCAGAGGTAAGGACAGGAGAAGAAAAGGAGAAAGTTGTGTTGGTTCTGAAATTCATTGCAAAAAACGAATAGGATTTAAGGAAAATATATAAAAATATAAAATCAGGCTCTGAAGACTCAGGACTCTGGCACCAAATCATTGCCTATTTTGCTTATTTCATTGCAAGTGAATCATACCCCTTCACATGTGACTGGAGACTTTAAAAACAAGCTGCCTGAATACAAATTTCCCAGCTCCACTAATTATGAGCACATATTCAAGTTATTTTATCTTTCTGAGTCTCATTGTTTTCATCTGTAAAAGCCAGAAAAAAGAGTTCAAAGATGATTTCCAGACAAACAATTATTCAATAATCATAGGACAGTGTCTTATCCTAAAGAATTGTTCTGTCAGCTATAGATCTCAGTATTATTTCTATAAGTACATTTCATTAGACATAAAAATCTAAGTTTTTCTCTTACCAAAAACTGTCAATGGAAAATTTTCTTACTTTCACATTAAGTATAGAAAGAAATGCTGGGATAAAATGTAAAATCTAGTGATTATAATTTATAATTACTGTATTACATATTTAAAAGTTGCTAAGATAGTCGATTTAAAAAATTTCTTATCTCTTGAAGCTGTAGAGCTAGTACAGTGACAAAGCACTTGACTTGCACACAATCAACCAGGGTTCAATGCCATATAGTGCCCTGAGGACTGCCTAGAGTGATCAGTGAGTACAGAGCTTGGAGTAAACCCTGAGAACAGCTGGATGTGGGCCTAAAACAAACAAGTTCTCATCTCTTGGGTCTGAAGAAATAATACAATAGGTAAAAAGAGCGATTGCATGAAGGTAGACTGGGTTTGATTCCCCAGCACTGCATATTGGTCACCTGACCCCTACTATTTTGATCCCATAACAAAAAAAAGTATTCATCTCAAGAAAAAAATCATAATTCTCTGTGGTAGTGAATGTTAACTAGATTAATTTGTAGTAATCATTTTGTATATAAACAAATATCAAATCACTAAATTACACGCTTGAAGCTAATATAATTTTATGTATCAATTATACCTAAATTTAAAAAGAAATTGAAAGAATATTTGATATATAATGAAGCCTAATTCAAGGGGAATTAAGATATTTCAAAGTATACATATTGCAGTCAATAAAATAAATTACTATGTGTTCACCTAATTTAATTTTAAGTAATATCTATGTGATTTTCACCAAAGATAACTGATAACAAAGTAATTTGATTCAAATATTGAATAACATAAATTCTTACTTCTGCAAATTCCTTTTTGTTCAATCTTGGTTCCGTTGAGTAATCAATGGTCATTTTCGGGTACTGTTCTTCTATTTATGCAAAAGGGTTGTTAGTTTAGTTTTAATCATTTATATTTTATATTCATATAATAAAATAGCTATTCCAAAAAGAATTTTATGTCTTAGCTAATATCAACCAATGTTTATGATTAAAGTAACTGACATATAATTGCATTACATTTTAATTCCTACCAAAATTTTTATTCTTCTTCACTCTTATTTCCAAGCAAAATACTGAAAGCTACATGCCTGCATCTGGGGTGAGGTAGCTCCCAAGTGAGAATTCTTGGACAAGACTAGCAATTCTTGGACAACAGGACTGGTGATATTACAAGGGCTCAAGAGTGCAATATTGCTCAAGCCCTGAGGGAATTACTTGGACACCCCTGGCTATGTCCAGTGGTCTCCAGGGTTACATCTGGAGCTGATCTGGGAACCACATGGTGCCAGAGATAGAACTAAGATCAGCTTCATTCAGTGCATGCATCCAAACCCTTATACTATCTCTCCAACTGCAACATGTTTACATTTTTAATGTCCAGGTCAGCATAAAGTTGAAATAGGCACACCAATAATATAAAAGACTGTAAAAACCATTTGTGTTGGTTCAGGCTAGAATTTTTCTACTAAGTCCTAAAATGTAGCACCTTTGTAAGCTTTCTTCTTGGATAATTCTCTTGCCTTTAATTAAATGGTATATGAATATGTTCTTTTAGCAAAAGACTCAACACAAAAATATAAGCAGTAAAGTATGAAAACCTACCTTTTTTTCCTCCTGCTAGCACGTCCTCCTGCCCTATAAGTCACTACTGCCAATAGCTTGCTGTCATCCTCCCAACATTTCTATGCATGTCTAAATGCATGTATAAATATATGTGCATATATCCTTTGTTTTCTATACACAAACATAATTCTATTGACCTGTAACTTGCCTTTTCCATTTTTTTTATTAGTGAGACACCATGAGGTGCAGTTATAGACTTACAAATTTTTGTGCTTGGGTTTCAGTTCTACAATGATCAAGTACCTATCCCTCCACTAGCGCCCATCCTCCACCACCACAGGTCCCAGCATCCCTCCCACCCCCCCATCCCCGCATCCCACCCTGCCTCTGTGGCAGGGCATTCCCTTTTGTTCTCTCTCTCTTTCCATTTAACTACTCTTCTTATAGTAGTTTCATATAAGATTTGGAGCTTATGGGGAAGTTTCAGAGATGTTAGTATAGATAAGAATCTGCAACTATACTCATAGGTTTGAATAAGAAAAGTTCAGGAAGGGGAATATGGTGCCTCCAATAGGTCAACCTGTACCTCAGGGCGAGTGCATCAACAGCCTGATGGTGACTTCAAGCTTCATGACACCCTCAAATTGGCGCTGTGCCTTTGACCAGACCCCAACAACTTGGGCCAAGTTTATCAAGAAATTAAACAGTCAAAAGTTAGGTATGTGGGAGCCATGCCCACAAACCATCTCCAACATATATATATATATATATATATATATATATATATATGCCTTATTTCAGAGACCCATAAATAAATCTAAAAAGAGGTCAAAAGCCACAGTTAATCTCGAACCAGCACATGGCTGAACACACTGGGGTAAATTGCAGGGGGCGGGTTGACCTGGTGCCTGCCCAAGCAGAGCCCCTGGCAGTCACTTGCTTCCACAATCCAAAATCACCACCATAACCCCAGCCCACTCCACCATCTCAGGACCTCACCAAGGTATAATCTGCTGAAAATTCAGATATGCAAATTTTGTGACTGAACTCTCCAGGATTTCTCAGGGTTGGGATGGGCTACCTCCCCCCACCTCCCTGCACTTTTAGAAGCCACGGCAGTCATACCCACACCCCAAAGCGGCCACCCAATTGAAAAGCTACTCCAGCTTTACTATCCCAATAAAATTATTGAATGTCCTGAACAAACGCCATGACCTCTTAGCACCTGTATTGCAAGCCATATTGCACAAAAGGAAAAGAAGAGAGAGAACAAGAAGGAAAGAGTCTCCCATAGAGGGAGGCTGAGGGTGGGGGGATGAGGTGTTGAGGGATGGTGGGAGGGAAACAGGGGACATTGGTGGTGGGAAATGTACACTGGTGGAGGGATGGGTGCTGGATCATTGTACGACTGAAACCCAATTATGAACAGCTTTGTAATGGTCTATCTCATGAATATTCAATTAAAAATATTTTAAACGTAATGTGGAGTTCATGCCCAATTCAATCAGTTGAATCAATGACTTAATAAATAGCAGTACTCCTACATTAAATATAAAAAAGTCCAGGAAATATATACAGTGTATAAAATTATAATATAATCAAAATAATAAATTGGAATAATGAAAGGTTTATGTCTAACAGTATGATGAATAATTATGAAAGAGGCAGTTAGTTTAAATTTTTAAATTAAAACTTATTTGACCTTATCATGAGACAAATATGTAAATTGTACGAAAGCTCATGACAAAAGACCCAATACTGTGATTTCTTCTACTACAACACCATCTCCTGCCTATTAGGGTGAGTATTTAAAATATTCTTTAGGGGCCTGGGGAGAAAGTGCAAAGCACTGATTACATGTGGAGTTCCTGTGTTTACGCATCACTGGGATTAGCCTTCTCCTGTTTATGCCAAGTATCACTTCCAGCCCCTCAAAACAAAATTCTTTGGTCACTTTTGACTTTTTGTAACTGCAAGTTATTATCAGTCATTGTGGTCACAAGAGAACTATATTCATATTATATAAACTTATATATTAGCTACTTTTATTTTGAGCTAAGAGGGCTGGCAGAGCAATGCAAGGGCCTTGGACTGCAGTGCTGAGGGATGAGTGGCCAGATCAGTTCAAATTAGGACTGGCCAAAAGCGAGGCATGAGTCTTATACTGGTCCCTGGGTCACATATTAGCTGGTTTCTAACAGTAAAAGTGAGGAGTATCTGCTCTTTGGTTTGACTTTGAGCAACCTAAGGACAGGAAGCTTAGTCCTCTTCTCATATCACACAGTATCCAGAACTTTGTAAGGGCTATTGAATGAAATACTGGTAGAGAAAACAAGTACTATACAGTATTGGAGGTAATAGAAGAAACTGGCATTACCAACTAATTGCTCTAAATTAATCACCATTTCACCACAACACCCAAAAGGAGAGAACAAAAGGGAATGCCCTGCCACAGAGGCAGGGTGGGATGGGGGGGGATGGGGAGGGAGGGATACTGGGACATGTGGTAGTGGAAAATGGGCACTGGTGGAGGGATGGGTACTTGATCATTGTATAACTGAAATCCAAGCACAAAAATTTGTAAGTCTTGGGAAGGGGGGCGTTCCGGTCCATCCTTCACGCCGGACCGAGGTCACCAGTTGCCCCCCATAGGCGGCTCTCCGGCACGGCCACGGCCCCAGAAGCACAAGGACTTAATGCAGAAAACCAGCCGCTTGGAGCAGAAAAGCGAATGGACTATGTGTTGAACCGCGCCATCATGCCTGCCCGGAGGGGAAAGGGTGTTGCCCCATTCGCCCTCTCCTCTCTGGAAAGAAAGATGGCGGCCGCACGGGAGCCTTGTGGACAGCAGGTTTGAGCCGGGGGTCGGGGGCGGCAGGGACCTCATGGGAAGGGGGGCATTCCGGTCCGTCCTTCGCGCCCTGCCGAAGTCACCAGTTGCCCCCCACGAGCGGCTCTCCGGCACGGCCACGACTCCAGAGCACAGAAACTAATCTCTTAACTATCTAACTTTTAATAGAAATACTTCCAGGGTTAATAAGTAAAATAGCAGAAATCCAAAACTGCACGGCCGCTATTGCGGCCGCGCAACATCATTTAACTCTTAAACCCAGCTGTAGAAAGCAAATCATTTCACAATGCTTTTTCAGCATGTCTGATTTGGGGGGTGGGGGTCATAAACTCTAAATAATAATGGTGCATCCTTTATCGAAACAATGAATCTAGTCAAAGTAGATAGAGTGTTAACTAGAACTCATCTGCCTCACAGGAATTGGGAGGGGTGGGAGGTGGGGTTCTATTGGGGTTCGCGGTTAAAAATAAGTATTGGTAAAGGGAAATGTGTTTGATATTTACATGACTGAGACCTAAACCTGAAAGCTCTGTAACTTTTCCCACAGTGATTCAATAAATAAATAAATTTAAAAAAATTTGTAAGTCTACAACTGTACCTCATGGTGTTTCACTAATAAAAATCCAAAAAAATAATTAATTAATTAATTAATCACCATTTCAAACAATGGCCAAGCTAGTTAATAGCTCTCTTAACTAGCTCTGGTTATAGCTTATCAAAGAATAAATGAATAAAAGTAGTTATTTCAATCTTTTTTTTCCTGAAGCTGGGACAGTTCTTATAGGGTTATAGATCAAACTGGAAGGTATGAGGACATAAGTTCGATGCCCAGCACTGACTGTGTACCCCACCTTCACCTCTGGGCACTGCTGAGTATGACCCTTGTACCCCTCAATCACCCAAACTTGGGAGTCCCCAGCACCACTGGCCTCATCCAGGTCCTAGCACAGAACCATCAGGACATCTCTGCTTGAAGGCAGCCAATAGTGGATCTGAGGCCCCTAAGCATCATGAAGAAGGCTTCCCTGCATTTTTTTTTCTAAAAAGGAAATTGAGGTGGAATTGACTATGAAAAAAATCATTTTTGGTTTGTATGAAAACAGGCAGAAATTTAAAAGGTTGTCAAAAAGGCACAAATCACTCTTTGGGGACCAGTAATAAGGATGATGGGGAATGTATTTTTTTTTTTAGTGTATCTTTATAAGAACCAGGCCCAGTGTTGTTTGGAGCCCTTGGGGCCACTCCCAGTGATGCTCACTCCAGCATTGAGGCCCTGGTAGATTCTGTCCTTGGCCTGGAGGTGCTTCAGGGCCAGGACTACATGCGTTTGTATGTGTGTTGGGGTGTGGGTGGTGGTCAGAAGGTGCTGAATATGGAACTCAGGGCTCTGTTCTTCTCCTTAGACTCTCTTTCCCATTCCGATCTCTTTTTTTCAAAAATGTGAAAATAGATTCCCTCTCCCCACAAGGAGCATGGTAGAAGTTTGAGGAGTTTTCTTGCTGCAATGATGGGGAGCTCCTGCCCAACACTCTCTGCTACTCTAGCCAGATATGGAGGGTAAAAAAAAATTCACTTAGAATGATAATTTTGCCACTAGAATCTAACTCTATTTTCAGGTAAACACAGGCTATATTTTGCTGTTGAGTCTTCCAAGAATGTAGCTACTATGAAGATGTGAGATGATTGTGCTTTGCTTCATTGTGGAATCTGACCAAGAACTTGTCCCATTTCAGAAAATTGTTTAATGGGAGATGATCCCACCCATTGAATCTGAGCTCCAATCCACAACACCTGCATCTGCTCATGTTCACAGCTCTTCTTTTCTTGAAAACTTTACATATACAAGCAGATCTATCCATTGGCCATTATATTTCAAAATTTCAAACTTACAGTCAATTCAACACAAATTTACTTAAAAAAATATTTGAGGACATGCTTGGTGATGCTCAGAAAACCATACATATCACTGGGAAGTGAACTGGGATTGGGCACATGCAAGGCAAGTGCTTTATGCTTGAACTATCTTTCCTGCCCAAAATGCGCCTTTATTATCTCTAAACATTCATTATAGGTAGATTCAAATGTCTGACCATTCCGTTGTTTTCTAGTGAAGTTGCAATAGTCTTTATATATTAAAATATGATACATGTTTTTCTTCCTTATATTTCTCCTTTAAAGCCAAGTTATGACAATTTCATTTTTTAATTTTTGTATATTTAAGTAATATTTTCTACAGATGGGGAATAAATGGATATTATAGGATATTTATTATTAAATGAGGAATTTGACTAAAAAGATTAAAAATAACTTATGCTTCTACTTTTCCACACTCTTCATCTAGAAAGAGTAGGAAATCCTACATCTACAAGAACTTTGAGTAACATCTCTCTCAACATTGACTTTTCATCTTAATTCAGAAGGAAGGAAGGGAGGGAGGGAGGAAAGAAGGAAGGAAGGGAGGGAGGAAGGAAAGAAGGATGGAAGGAAGAGAGAAAAGAAGGAAGGAGCAAAGGAGGAAGGGAGAAAGGGAGGAAGGAAAGAAGAAGAGAAGGAAGAAGGCGGAGAGGAAGGAAGGAAGGAAGGAAGGAAGGAAGGAAAGAGGGAGGGAGGGAGGGAAGGAGGGAGGGAAAGAGGGAGGGAGAGAGGGAGGAAGGAAGGGAGGGAAGGAGGGAGGGAGGGAGGGAGGGAGGGAGGAAGATTGCAACAATAGACTTACCAAGCTGGAAATCTGGATTTTTAAAAAAGTCATGAAGAACATTTTGAATCTGCAAATCAAAGAAACTATATATTACTCATCAACTACCACATATTTAATATTTTAGACTAAAAATCTAAAATATCTTAGATCTAAAGGCCTATTTCAATTTAGGTACTGGGTAATCCATCTAGCCCAGCATAAAAATAGTAATAACAGGGGCTAGAGACCTAATTCAATGCGCTGGAATGCTTTACATCCTTGAAGCCCAGGTTCAATCCCAGGACCAGCTGTTCCCCCAGCATGCTGGGAGCTAACCCCAGCACAGAGCTTGCAATAGTCCTTATGCACTGCCAGGTGTGCTCCCTTGAAACAATTAGTGATAATTAACATTTAGTTTATAAGGTGCTCAAAGGAATAAAAAATGGTTTCCCATATATACCAGAGAGGCAAAAAAGTATAGTCGAAGTGACATCTGCACTTGTTTGTTCATTGCAGCACTCTTCACAATAGCCAGAATCTGAGTGCTCAAGAACAGATCACTGGTTAAAGAAACTTTGGTACATCTACACAATGGAGTATTATGTAGCTGTTAGAAAAGATAAAGTCATGAAATTTACATACAAGTGGTACTACATGGAAAGTATCATGTTAAGCGAAATGAGTCAGAAGGAGAGGGATAGATATAGAAAGATTGCATTCATCTGGGGAACATAAAGTACCAAAACAGGAGACTAACACCCAAGAGTGGCTGAGATTAGTACCAGGAGGTTTGCTCCATGGCTTGGAGGCCAGCCACACATGCTGGGGGAAAAGACAGTTCAGATAGAGAAGGGAGCACCAAATAAAGGGTGTTGGGAGGATCCTCCCAGGACGGGAGAAGCATGCTGAAAGTAGACTATAGACCAAACACGACTGCCACTCAATGCCTCTTTTGCAAACCTCAACACCCAAAAGGAGAGAGAACAAAAGCGAATGCCCTGCCACAGAGGCAGGGTGGGATGGGTGGATGGAGGGTGGGAGGGGACCACTGGGACCTGTGGTGGTGGAAAATGGGCACTGGTGGAGGGATGGGTATTTGGTCACTGTATAATTGAAATCCAAGTACAAAAATTTTAAGTCTATAACTGTGCCTCATGGTGTCTCACTAAAATTAAAAAAAGGAAAAAAAAAAGGGTTCCCCATAGATGTCCTTGATAGTCTAGCCTTTCTGTGTGTAAGGGGATGCTGAAAATGTCGCTTCCAAAACCTTCTTAGCACTTCCAGAGATCTAACTTGGTTGCTTTGTAAACTAGGACTGCTTTTCCCACAGACATGTGCCTTGAAGCAGTTTTCCATGTGCTTATTTGGTGAAGTGTTGTTCAGGTCTTTTGTTCATTTTGTAATCAGTTGCTCATTTACTATGGAGGTTTAAGAGTTCTTAATATACTTTGTAGAATAGTTGTTTATCAGATGTCTTTGCAAATATTTTCTCACAATCTATGGCCTGTCTGCCTTATTCTCCTTTTAATAATTAATTTTAAACATAAACTATACTTGACTTGTATCTATCTTCTTTCTTTTATTATTATTTTTGTTTGGCTGGTTTTGAAGCCACGCCTGGTAGTGTTCAGGAGCTTGGTGATTGCAGGCCTCCCAGGCATTGCTCAGATGATTGAACCCAGGCCCTCCAGTTCAGGCCCTCTGCACTTGTTCTATGAACTTGTCCTTGGTTTCTCTTTCATTATTACTTTTTTAAATAGGGCTACACCTATGCAAAGCAGGGTCTGAACTTAGTGCCTCATTCATACTAGGTTTGTACTTTATTATTTGAATCATCTCCCTTTCCCTTGACTTGTACCTCACCAATAAGTATTCTGATATCTATATATAACTAAGAGAAAACATTTAATTCTTGGAATCTAGTTGTTTTCTGGAAATAAAAGATATGATCTATTAGTACACACAAGTGATTAGTTTCGCTCTCTCCCACTTTCACCCTCCCTCCCTCTCTCCTTTCCTTCCTCTGTTTCTGTCTCTGTCTCACACACACACAAAGACTCACACAAGAACAAATGGAATCTGTGTCTGTTTATAATTAACATTTTTAGAACACTAGCCGGTGTCAATAGTTCAGAAGTTTAACCAGGATCTGACAGGTTTTGTTGGGCTTCACCAAGCAATGTCCAGGACTTATTCCAGGCTCTGTGCTTAGGGATAACTCCTGACAGTGCTTGGGGGGCCATATGTGGTGCCAAGGATTGAATCAGCCTTGACTGGGTGCAAGGCAAGCACCTTAAGTCCTGTATTGTCTCTCCAGCCCATTTTTTTTAGTGCTCAAGAAAAACATGAAGAAATTGACTCCATGGACACATGGATCAAAAATCTACCGCAGCAGAACTGAAAATTCAAGGAAGTTTCTAGCATTTGACTCATTAGTCTGGCAGTCACGCTCTTATCCACCCTACCTTCCCTTCACAGTTAAATGATTTTATTACCACTAATATAGGAATCATTCCATTGGGGTCTACAATCCATTCTTCAAACTGTTCCTCCAGGGCCTGCTTCCGTATGCTGATCACCTTGAATTTAACTTTGTCTACCCTTTCTCTTTGTTCCCGTTTCTCTTTAACACTCTCCTTCAGTTTTTTCACTCTGAAGAATACAGAAAGACAAGTTAAGACCATTGAATTAGATCCAGATTTGTTTCAGACAGCAGAATACAAGAGTTCAGCTCCTCATTTCAACTTTGACTTTATTTCATGTCTTCATTTATTTGACGTAATTGAGCAGCTCCCAGCAATACCTGACCTGATACTCTGGAGACCTGATAGTTCAGTATTTGGTCTGACAATGTTGTGCTGTTCAGGCTGGGGTCCTCAGCAATATTGGGGAACACAAGGGTTACAATTGACAGTGCTCAGGCTACCAGGAATTAAATTTGGGACTGAGCATATGCAAGACATAATTACTTTAATCCTTCGAGCCATCTCCTCCACCGTCATGTCTTTATTTTACATTATTATTTTCTTTTTAAAACTCACGGTCACGCTCAGGGTCCTCCCCTTGTTCATCGATTTGCTCAAGCGGGCCCAGTAATGTCTCCATCATGAGACTTGTTGTTACTGTGTTTGGCATATCGAGTACGTAACGGGTGGAGACTTGTTGTTACTGTGTTTAGCATATCGAATATGTCACGGGTTGCTTGCCAGGCTCTGCTGTGCGGGCGAGATACTCTCGGTAGCTTGCCGGGCTCTCCGAGAGGGGCAGAGGAATCGAACTCGGGTCAGCCATGTTGGCCGCTTGTAAGGCAAATGCCCTACCGCTGTGCTATCGCTCCAGCCCTTTTAAAACTCATAAGCAATTTTAGTTAAAGGAGGAAAAAGGAAGGGAAAAGAAAGCAGGGAAACTGAGATTATGGGAGGGGTCTCTTCAAGAAGGATTCAGAGAAAGGCAGAAATCTTTTCCCATTTTAACGAATGGGCAGGTGAGTGAGCATTTTTAAATTTTAAAGTAGGTGGGCTGATAAAACAGAGTAGGATATTGATATGATTATGTCCTGGTTGTTCTGTTGTAGCACAAAATTTCGGAGCAGAAGCAGGAATCTAGATGCAGGACCTCTGAATGACCCATTCTAGATAACTATGTCATAAAGTTCTGACCAGAAATGAGCACAGAAGAGCCAGATGCATCCGTTTGCTTGAGCAGAAATGAAACGGGGCCATAGAAACAATTAGAAAATGTCTATATGGAACTTAAAGCAGAATGCATTAATCTCTGATTGTACCAAGTATTACATACGTTAGCAATCCTTTTGTATGTCAAATAGAAAAATCCTTTCCTTAGAAACAGTGTTTCCTGTATCTAACAAGTATAAACTCTGTGTTAACTGTATTCATGGCTTAGCCCACTTTGGCATTAGCCAGATCTAATCTGAATGCTTAACTCGAAGTTGTCTTTCCCTCAAATCTCTCAAGTGTTTGCTCCTGTTTCTTGATCAGATTTCTGCAGCATTATAATCCAGGTCATTGGACATAGCCTAGGTTATTTCACTTTAAACCTATCTTTTCTCCATGAAATCTTACTTGATTTAACTTCTTATCCTCACACCTGAGCACTTATTGAACTAAATTTTCATCATAGATTGCCCTCAACTATTATATGACTTTTTACTGAATAAACCTTATTTTCAAACTAAATAATATACTTTCAGAAGTAAAAATGAGGCTGGAGAAATAGTACAGGGTTAAGGTTCTTGCCTTGCATGTGGCTTCCCCAGTTTATCCCTGGAACTGCATATTACCCTGAGCCAGGGTGATCTCTGAGAACAGAGCTAGGAGTAACTTTAAACACTGCTGGGTGTGTCCAATCTCCTTCCTGAAAAAGCATAGTCTAGAAGCTATCACGTATATGCTAAAAGCAAGAATGCACTGCCTTAGTAGTGATCCTCTCTCTTCTCTAGACATAGAAAATCATCAGGAGGAACTTGATCCCAGCTTTCAAGAGGGAATCTAGAAGCTGCATCCATAATAAGCACCTCAGGTTCTGAACTAGACTTTAGCTTTCTGTCTCAGAATATATATATTTCCTACATACATCCAGAGTAATAGTTTCACAATGTCTGAGCAAAACAGTTATTCTTAGGACCAGAGAGAACACAGTGCAGAGCATTTGCCTTCAACTGAGTTGATCCAGATTTGAACACCAGCACCCCATATGGTCCCCTGAACACTGCCAGGAGTGACCACGAGCACAATGAATGAACATCCACTCACCCCACCTAAAAAAAATTTCCCAACAATGTTTGAAACAGGTCTTCATTTTTCAAAGAGGAAAACTAAGACCACCTGGCAGATTTTGAAATGCAAAGTAACTTTCAGTTACAATTGATAAATTTAGAATACCTCTAATAATCCAAAAGAAACAACTAAAATCTAAGTTGCATGTCCATATATGGCTTTCATATTTCTCTTTTAAAGAAAAATACGCCTCCAAAAATAAAAATTTGAAGTTTGAAAATAAAACAGGCAAGTTAATAGTGCAGAAGGGCCTGTTCCTGAATTGCAAAAAGAGTAATTAGTATTTAAAGGAAGTGCTAAATTTCTCTGATGCAACTGCTAAGCAACCAAACTCCACTTCCATTTGTCTCTAATTCTTTTTTTCCTCTGCTTCCTTTCCTGCGCTCTTCCCCAGCTCTTTCCCCCCTTCTGTTTAGTCAGTCTTCCCCCACTTCCTCTCCTTCTCCCTCTCTCAATTCTTTCTCTTTCCCTCCCTCCCTTTCCCTACACAGCATTCGCCCCAATTTCTGTCTGCACCTTTTTGTGTCTAGCTCTTTCTCATTATTCATATATTCACTTTTGTTCATCCATTTATTCACTACATTAGTACCTTAGTCATTGCATCTGCATTTATTGGATGCCTATATGGATTCTTCACTATCAGCCTTATTGTTCAATGCAGAACAAATAAACAAACAATATGGCATGTGAAGCACTGGGTGTCTCCAGATTCCCATGTTTATTAATCACTGATACATAAAAATGAGCTCACAAAAACAATAATGCATATTAAGAACTGGGTATCTCCATTTTCATATGTGTATTGATCACTAACGCACAAAAATGGATTCACAAAATTGAGTTTATTTCCATCTGCCTGAAATACTTTCCATCCTTTCTTTGCATGACTATATGCTCCACTTTCTTTAGCTCTCAACTCAAACATCATCTCTTGCCCCTTATTAATGCCAACATTTAGAAACAAAACCTAGTTTTTGCTCTAGGGCTGCTGTACATGAGACTCCAAATATAACTCAAATGGATTTTAGATTGATTATGTAACTCACTTGGAAAATGAATAAAATTTCTCTTCCATGAGCTGCATTTGATCTTAAAAATATCTGTATCAACAGAATTTTGTAGCAGCCAAAACTCTTAATTTTGTGTAGTATAGGATTCTAAATATAAATTCACATTTAAGAAGACTGGAAAGGAGAAAAATATATAGTGTGGTAACATGCCAAGCTGGTCACATTTTCTTCCTGATCCTATATGTATATCTGTTTGTTATACAATGTAACTTTGCAGCTCCTAAATCAAGCATCTCTTATCAAATACATCTCTTATTTCTGACAATGGACACATAATTTGCTTTGGCCAAAGGCCATTGGAAAATATAATGCCTGCAAAAAAGTTAAAAGATAGTATCAATTATATCACAATAAGATTATGAAGAAAAGTATCTCTACATTGACAGTTGTCCTCTTTTATTGAACTTAGGAATCCTTTCACCACCCACCACCTTAGAAATGAACCTAGGTTTGTCAGTTGGATGATCCAGTTACCTCTTCATTGCTTTTGCAAGCAACCAACAGTAGACAAGATGTTATGCCATCAATTGCCATCTTACTGTAATGCATGAATGAGTTCAATTGATACCATCTGAAGCAGAGATGAGTCACGGACCCAGCACAAAGCTACTAACACAAAATTATTATAACTTTACTTCCTTGCATTTTGAGGTATTTTGTTATACAGCTAACCAATAATTTTCCCCATCTTAACAAATGTTTTTAGATCTTTTAAAGAAAGACATAGTATATATCTATTCAAGAATAAAAGCTGGAGAGATAGTACAGCAGATAGGGTGTTTTCCTTGCATGAGACTGACCCAGGTCTGATCTCTGGCATCCTGCATGGTCCTTCAAGCACTGCCAGGAGTAATTATTGTGAAATAAAGTTCCTGACAAGATAAAATGATTTAAGAGAAATCTGTAACTGACTAAACAGTGATATTTGATCAGATAAATTAGGCCTATTTGTAATTTTATAAAATTAAAACAGACATTTTTCATAGCTTCCCATTATGTATTGATGATTAATTCAGAGACTTCAAAATTATTCAATTACCCTAAATCAAGATGTATCTCATAGTAATACATAAATTATTAACAATCTAAAATTTAAATTAAAAACAAAAAAGTAAAAGAAATTGACAAACATAAGAAAAATTTCATCATGAAGACAAAATCCAGATTAAAATAGATTGCTCATCTTGACTTCATATTTAACAAATATTTAATGAGCATTAATCATGTGACAGACTGTGGTAGATTCAGGAGATTCAAGGGTAAGAATGAAATAGTTTCTTCTTATACCACAGACAGGAGAATAGCTGTTATAATTGTTATAAATTACAATAAGGAGAAACACTAGGTGTAAAAATGAGAACATATAAAAGCAAGTCCCTACGCAACTTCATGATGAAGTATTATTTGAGTTGAGCACTGAAGGATTGGTTGGATATGGCAAAGAGAGAGAATAGCAAAGGGGAAAAGGCATGGTATCATTATACAAATCATCTTGTGGCTACAGAATAAAACTTAAAAATGAAAGAGGGAAAAGCAAGGTTAGAAAGAATATTAAGCACCAAGTCATGTGAAGAAGGTCTTAGAGCCTATTTAAGAATATTGATCGTTGGGGCTGGAGCGATAGCACAGCAGGTAAGGCATCTGCCTTGCATGTGGCCAACCCAGGTTGGAATCTCAGCATCTCATATGGTCACCTGAGCATCGCCAGGAGTAATTCCTGAGTGCAAATTCAGGAATAACCCTTGTGCATCACCAGGTGTGACCCAAAAAGGGAAAAAAAAAAAAGAATATTGATCTTTAAGGGGCCAGAGAGATAGTATAGCAGGAAAGGTTCCTGCCCTGCACATGGCCAACCCAGTTCCCAAGGTCCCCTATGATTCCCCTCCCCCAAGCTCTGCCAGGAGTAACCCTTGAGCACTGCCAAGGGTAACCCCCCCCCCAAAAAAAATTGGTCTTTATACTAAGAGTAAATGGATATCATTGAAAACTTACACTGTGGAAACAACATGATAAGATTAATATTTTTAAAAATCCCTTTAGTTACACATTAAAAAGGGCAATTATAAAAGGGAGAGAAGAGGTCATGAATGAATATAAAGTGCCAGAGTTATGATACAGAGAGTAGGGCTCTTGTCTTGCATGCAGCAGACCTAGGTTTAAGCCTGAAATAAGCAAGCCCTGAGCACTGCTGGATATGACCCCCCAAAAAAACCAAAAAAATGTAAAAAAAATGATCATAATAATGGAGGGGCTGGAGCAATAGCAGTGTGGGTAGGGCGTTTGCCTTGCACATGCCCGGCCGACCTGGGTTCGATTCCGAGTATCCCATATGGTTCCCTGACCTGAGCACTTCCAGGAGTGATTCCTGAGTGCAGAACCAGGAATAACTCCTGAGCATCGCCAGGTGTGATCCAAAAAACAATAAATAAATACATAAATAAAATAAATAAATAATAGATATAAAAAAGGAGTTGGAGAGATAGTACAGTAAAATGCTTGCCTTACATGTGGCTAGCCCAGGTTCAAGTCCTGGAGTCACATATGGTCCCCTGAGCCCCATCAGGAATGCCCTAAGCACTGTCAAGTAGGGCCCCAAAATGAAAAAAACTGAATGTGTATGTATTAGGAGATTCTACAATGGTGCAGGTGAGAGCTGATGGTTATTGGGTGGCAGCAGTTGGAGAAGCTCAGAAATAACACTTGATAGAAGCAATAATATCAATAGGAATAATAATTTACTGGAAGTGAGCAGTGAGGAATGAGAAAGTGTCAAGGCTGATGGCATGGTTTTGGATTAAAACTGGATAGATAACCAAAGAAGAATGACTTATTGAAGTTCAGGTGCTTAAGATAGGTACATTCAAGTACCTATCTTTTTTTTTTCTTTTTGGGTCACACTCAACAATGGCCGGGGGTTCCTCCTGGCTCTGAACTCAGTACCTCATGGTGTTTCATTAATGAAAAAAAAAAAGAAAGAAATTACTCCTGGCGGTGCTCAGGGTACCATATGGGATGCTGAGAATCGAACCCAGGTCGGCCACGTGCAAGGCAAATGCCCTACCCGCTGTGCTATCTCTCCAGCCCCTCAACAATCTATCTTGAATATATAGTTGCACAAACAAATCTTCAGTTCAAAAAGGGTTTGGGGGCTACAGATACAAGAGCTGTTAGGGTCAGAGAGATAGTACAGTGGGTAAGGCATTTGCCTTGCATGTGGCCATCCCAGGTTCAATTCCTGGCATCTTATATAATCCCCTGAGCCCTGCCGGGAGTGATCCCTGGGCACAGAGTTATGAGTAAGCTCTCAAGCACTGTCCTGTGGGTGTGCCCCTTCCAAAAACCAAACAAAAGACAATAAAATATTGTGAGTATTTAGTGAATAACATGACTATGTGTCAGACTTTAGGATTTTCCAGACATCCTGGATAGTTGAAGGTGTTTAGACTCAGAATTACCATCCCCATCAGGCATTAGTCATCTAATCAGCCCTAGCTGAAGTGAGTTTGTCTCAAGTCTTTTTAACATTAAGAGTATTATATGCCACTGAAGCAGAACCAAAGACTCATTTAACAACTTTCAAGGTGTATGTGTAGGCTATTTGAATAACATCCAGCAAGATCATAATTTGATAATCCATAAGCAATTCAAGTTTCAAGTACCTAGTAGGGATTAACAACAGAGTGTGATTTAGAGGTGGGTAAGAAAATAGTGTACATACATTACTGTTTTACTTCAGAAGTTTGAAGAAAAGTACATAGCGTTAGTATAAAGTCATAAGGGGATAACCAGATATCATAAGGGGATGACAGTCATTCATAAACTTCTATTAAACATTCTCTGTCTCCACTCAATTTTGGCATAATCTCTCTTACTGGATTGATAAAATGACATGTCCAGTACAGATTGACAGGAAGATTGGCATTAATATTATCTGAGAAAGTTACCTGTGGAACTTCCTAGCGTCATATAAGCACAAGGATTTGGCTCATAAAGAGGTGGCAGCCGGTGTGGGGTAGGAGCAGACAGCCATCTGTGTAGCAAGCACTGTCTCCAGGCAACTGAGGAAGACCAGTATCAAGGAGGAAACAGCCCCTCAATGTTGCCAAATCCTCACACTGGAAACTTATAAAGATGGTTGGTTTAGACATTTTGAGGTTGATTTTTTTCCTTTTTGAAATACAAAAAGTACTTTGAAGTAAATCTTCAAAGCCTTTGCAAATAGATACCTCATTCAAAGAGTAACATACATGTCGGTGTAAGCTGCCTGAAAACTGTATAATAAGTGAATTTTCAGGGACTTTATATAAAACCCGCGTGTCTTTCCCTTTCAGTTTTTAATTGGTTTGTGCATCCTTACTGCTTGAGTATTTACACTGACTTGTTTTTCTTCAGTACATAACTGTGGTAAAGAAAATAACTGTGGGTTTGGATTTTAATTTAAGAGATATAACTCATTCCTTGCACATGCAAGCCCCTAGATTTAAAAGATTTGTGGTTCTGTATGGCCCTTAGTGTAACCCCAGGTTTAGCCCTGGTACTCGCTGAGTACCACTGTAAAGTAGTTCTCAAATTATATTAATATAAAATACTTTTTCAGAAATGGGTTAATTGTTGTTGCATTATGAGTCCATAGTACTAATAGAGAGGAATCACAGATAATATGCACCAAAGAGATCTTCTGGTGCAGCACAGATGCCAGACTGTTAAAGAAATCAGCAACATAGGCCAGTGAGATGGTTCAAAGGATTGGAACCATGTTCTGCATGCAGGGGCCCAGATGTGATACTGGCATTGCATGTCTTGAACACCTCTGGGTATGGTTCTGCAATCAGCTCTACCACCCACCAAAAAGAAAAGAAACGAACAACAGATGTAGGCAAATCACAACTGGATATACATCACTACAACTGCTACACACAAAAAGACAGGCCTTGAGGTTTTGCTTTGGGTCTCTTGAATCTACTTCATGGTTCATTTGAAGCCCCATTCAAATATTGGGACTATTTATGAGACTGTGGAGAAAAGAAGGTATTTATAGATTAATAAATCTTGCTTTTTCTGGAATGTGTAACTATCACATAATCAGACTTTTGAAAGTTTGTAATCCTATTTTAAGAGCAAATCTTTGTCATTATCAGTTCACGGTAAGATAGTAGCAATTTATAAAATAAACATTCCCAAGCACTGAAGGAATCAGGAGTCAGAGGGAAAAGATATTAAAAGAAGTCTGTTGGGGAAGAAACAATAGTACAGCTGGAAGGGCATTTGCCTTGCAGGCAGCCAACCCAGCTTCAATGCCCAGCACCCCATGTGGTCCCCCAAACACTGCCAGGAGTAATTCCTGAGTTCAGAGCCAGGAGTAGCCCCTGAGAACTGCCCAGTGTGGCCCAAAAAATGAAAGAAAGAAAGAAAGAAAGAAAGAAAGAAAGAAAGAAAGAAAGAAAGAAAGGAGGGAGGGAGGGAGGGAGGGAGGGAGGGAGGGAGGGAGGGAGGGAGGGAGAGATAGGAGGAAGGAAGGAAGGAAGGAAGGAAGGAAGGAAGGAAGGAAGGAAGGAAGGAAGGAAGGAAAGAAACGGGTTGGAGAAACAACTACAACTGTTTGATTGCTTTGTATACAGGACATCTAGTTTGTGATTTATTCACATGTTTTTGTATAAAATGAATAAAATGAATCTGTATCTGTGTTTCTGATGTATGTGTAAAGAATTGCCCAAAGAATCTATTGAAAACTAAGAAGAATAATTTCATGGCAGAAATCGAGTACAGGGTAGATAGAGGGTAAAAAAGGAGGGAAAATATGTTCACTATAGAAAACTGTACATTTTGGCTTTTGAACTAGGTGAACACATTATCTATCTGAAAAGTTAAATATATATATATATATATATATATATATATAAGTCCCTGATCTCACATTACTTACTTTCAATGTAGACTGACAAATCTGCATCTGTGTTTATATTTGAGATATATATGATATGTATATATATATATATGTATATATATGACTCTAATGATTTCATGACTCAGGAAATATTTGTAAAATAGTCATCAAATTACTTCAGTGCTGTTTGTGTGGTTATGTTATTGTCCTGTTTTTCAGTGTAAAGAGCTAGACCATCAACTGAAAAAGTAACAAACTGTACCTGTGGCCAACTGTGTCAGGAACATGCACCTTCATTTTCTCTGTGACTTCTTTCATTACCCTCTGATAGGCAGACATCCCCATGTCTTTGACATGATAAGGATTGTTTCTCATCAAGTATTCCCCCAAATAAGTAATTGGATCAAACTTGATGGGAATATCACTTTCTTTCTGAAGCTGCTTCTTTTCTACTTGCATTAACATTTTTTCCACTCCAGGAACTAAGGTGGGGAGAAGTTTGTCAAGCAAATAGGTACGAGTATCCAGGGTCATGTGTTCTATATCAAACCATTCTTTGGCCAACTCATCCCTCTGGAGATTTTTGGTGCTCTTTTGCTCTAGCTCCTTCTTGAGATTGTCCTCTTTGATTTTCATCTGTTGCATTGCCTGGGCTCGTGACTCCACTTTTTCGAAAACAATTTTCTTCCATGGTTGCTCCTGCTGTGATGTCGTGGCATTTTCCTCTAAATTAAAAATCACTTTTGCAGGTTTTTTAATGCCATAATAAGAGTCCTCTATAGAACTAATTGAAGACTCAGACATCCTCAGATCTGATTCTGCAGGACAGGGCAGGGAGCAAAATGTAAGGAACATTAGATAGAAGCAGATTCAAACTGTTACTCTAGAATACTATTAGAAAAATAAAAGGGATTTACGTTCATTTACCTGTATGGGAACACAGCTGGCGTTACAGAAAACCAGACCACAGTGACTTTATTTTTTTTAAATCTTTTTTTTATTAGTGAAACACCATGAAGTATACTTATTTTTTTCATTTTCATTTCATCATCCTGTTATTCGTCGATTGCCTCGAGCAGGCCCCAATAACGTCTCTTTCATCCTAGCCCTGAGATTATATTCAAGGCTATTTAGGAGAGTGAGACCCATCATTGTTACTGGTATTTGGCATATTTGGTACGCCACGGGGAGTTTGCCAGACTCTGCCCTGTGGGCAGGCTACATTCAATAGCCTGCAAGTTTGTCCAAAGTAGAAATAAGACAATAAGATGTCATAAAAAAAAAGTTCTGTTAAGATGTCTTCTTAACAGATCTTCTTAACAGCATCTTCCACCCAGATCCTCCAAATTCCAGTGGGCGGGGGTCACACCCACCACCTGGCCCCCTGGCGCCGTGTAATCCCATCAGCGGCCAAGACTCAGAGACTATGAAATCCAGAAGTACACTTATAGACTTATAAATTTTTGTGCTTGGGTTTCAGTTATACAATGATCAAGTACCCATCCCTCCACCAGTGCCCATCCTCCCCCACCACGGGTCCTAGCATCCCTCCCACCCCCCATCCTCCCCCCCCCCCCCCCCCGTCCCACCCTGCCTCTGTGGCAGGGCATTCCCCCTTTTTCTCTCTCTCTTCTTTTGGGTACTGTGTTTTGCCAGAGAGGCATTGAGTGGCAATCATGCTTGGTCTATAGACTACTTTTAGCATGTCTCTCCCACCCTGGGAGGGTCTTCACAACACCCTTTATTTGGTGCTCTCTTCTCTATCTGAGCTTCCTTCTCACCTAGCACATGTGGCTGGCCTTCAAGTCATGGAGCAAAATTCCTGGTACTAATCTGAGCCATTCCTGGGTCCCCACCACAGTGACTTTAACGGCAAAGACATTTACTGTTGATTTAGTAGGCAGTCATTCAGTAGCTCTGTTTTACATTTAATTACCTCATGGGTTCTTATTGTTTTTTTGCATGATAATCTGTTATTCTTTATTTTTTTATTAAAAATTTTTTTTAATAGTGAGACATCATGAGGTACAGTTGCAGACTTACACATTTTTGTGCTTGGGTTTCAATTATATAATGATCAAATACCATCCCTCCACCAGTGCCCACTTCCCACCACCATGCATCCCAGTATCCCTCCCACCCCCATCCCCCCCCATCCCACCCTAGCTCTGTGGCAGGGCATTCCCCTCTGTTCTCTCTCTCCTTTTGGGTGTTGTGGTTTGCAAAAGAAACATTGAGTGTCAATCATGTTTGGTCTATAGTCTACTTTCAGCATGCTTCTCCCATCCTGGGAGGGTCCTCCCAACACCTTTATTTGGTGTTCCCCTCTTTATCTGAGCTCCCTTTTCCTTAGTATGTGTGGTTGGCCTTCACATTAGTACCAGGAGTAGAATTCCTGGTACTAATCTCAGCCATTCTTGGGTGTTAGTTTCCTATTTTGTTACTTTATGTTCCCCAGATGAATGCAATCTTTCTATGTCTATCTCTTTCTTTCTGAGTCTTTTCGCTTAACATGATATTTTCCATGTAGTATCACTTGTATGTGAATTTCGTGACTTCGTCTTTTCTAACAGCTACATAGTACTCCTATTGCTTTTTATTCATTTCCCTTTCCCCTTCCCTGTGTTGCTGTTGTCTGCAGGTCTAATGTTGCTAGTTGTGGTGCTTGCTGGGGTTTCTGCAGGGAACTCATGTACTTCCAGGGGTTTCACCCTTGAGTTGCTGTGCTTGCCATCTGGCTGTGCTCAGATCTAATACTCAATTATGGTTCTGGGGGTCATAGACTGCAGAGCCCCAGGGTTCATGCTCGGCTGCACCAGGGCATGAATCAAGTCCTGCCTTTAAGGAAAGTCCTTGCAGCCATTGAGCCATTCCAGGAGCCCCACCCATTTATTCAGGTTTTGTGCTTACACATCACATCCAAAAGAGAGTTATAGCACATCATTTCTCACATGAGAAAAGAATGGAGAAAGTCTTAAGTTTGTTATCCTCCAAGAAAAGAAGCCTTGATTCAAGGCTTTCCTTTATGTTTTCTTGGACCTAATTAGGGTACATGGCCATCTCCAGATCAATAGTTGGTAAAGGGACAAATGATTGCTCTAAATAGTTTTCATGAATCACAATTTATTCTTAAGGCCAAGGTTTAGATAAAGCTCTGATATTAAATCAAATGGTTTCTATCTGCTACAAAATTACGGTTCCAGGTGGATGACAATTAAGGTGGGAAATACCTGCTGAATAGGCAGTTGAAGAAAGTCTACCACATTAACATATTAAAAAAATATGTTCCACTTCTTTCCACTCATAGTTTCAGTCTTTTTCAGGTTTTCTTTTTTTTAATGGGAGTTTTTTTGGGGCAAAAGTGGGAATTAGAGGTAGAAAATAGCTAAAGGACTGAAGTGCAAGTCTGTGCCAAGTCCAAATTTCACCACCATCACTGCATGACCCCCCAAATCTCTGGTCACCCCAGCACTGAGTAGTCGGGTCCAACAGCTAGGCAAAGTGTCATTGGAAATATCCTCCCAGACTCCTCGAGCACTGCTAAGAAGCTCCCACAAAAAAAAAACAAAACCATAGACCAAGATAGTAAACTGAAATCAGGTGGTGTGTGTGTGTGTGTGTGTGTGTGTGTGTGTGTGTGTGTGTGTGTGTTATAGCTGTCCCCTGCTATTCAAAAGAAACTGGACATTGGATTGGGTTGGAGAAATAGTACAAAGGGTAGAGTGTTTGCCTTGTACACGGTCAACCTGAGTTTGATCCTCTGTATACCATATGATCCCCTGAACAACTCCTGAATTACTCCAGAAGTAATTCCTGAGTGCAGAGCCAGTAACTCCTGAGCATCACTGGATGCTCAGTGACAAGTCCAAATTGACAAAAACAAAAAACAAAACCAAAAAAAAAAAAAAAGAGGATGCAGGGTGCAGAATTGGACATTGAGATCAGAATACTAGGGTTCAAGTTCCAGCACTAACTGTATGACTTAGAACGAGTTGCTCAATATCTCAAACTAAGTTTCTACTCCTGTAAAGTGAAAACAGTAATTTTTTTCCTTTGCCATTTTCATTGAGGTGCCATCGTTTACAATATTGTTACTTATACTTTTCACATTTGCTCTCCAACATCACACATCACTAGAAAGCCTGCATCTCACCACCAGTGTCCCAGTACCCTCTCCCAGACATACCCCTGCCCCGAGTAACCTCAGATCTGTGGACAAAATCTCCTGGTTCCATGCTTTTGGCTGTTTGTTGTTCCCTTTATATTCCACAGGTAAGAGATACTATTTTTAAAAACAATAATTTTAATTTACATGATAGTCATAATGATAAAATATTTTAATATATTGCCATTTAATATCAATACATAAGCTATATGAATATTAATATATATTTAAATCTCAATATATTAGTGATAAAATTATATACTTACTAATTTATTATTAACTAACAGTTATTATTATTGGATCATCCCATTCAGAGTTTCTTCAATAAGAGGAAAGTCAAGGGAGGAATATTATGCAACATTTTTAAGAAATGGGCAGAAAAAGAAAATTTATACCAGAATCTGAGAATGATCAGGAAGTGAAAGAAAAATAGGATAGATTAGATTTTTTATTTTAAAAGGTTATAGCAAAGGAGTCAAGAAGGATTATTATTAAAGAAAACTTCACTATTTATAAATAGAAAATCATCTCAAAGAGCCTAAAACTGAAAATAAAATGCATTGGGTTTGAGAGTACAGTGGAAAGGGCATTTGTCTTGCATATGACCAGCCCAGGTTCTATCCTCGTTACCTTGGAGTGATCCCTGAGCACAGAGCCAGGAGTAATCCCTGAGCACTACTGGGTGTGCTAACCCTCCCCCATAAAGAAAAAATGTATTACCCTTGATCACTTGATCACTTGACATCCCGTTACTCATCAATTTGCTTGAGCGGGCACCAGTAACATCTCCATTTGTCCTTGTCATGTACTAGTGTAGCCCAAATCTGCTTGTTCTAGGAACAAGAAGAGCCTCAAACCGATCCTTCAGGGTCTTGACGAAGAAGTCTGACCATATTGTAGGTGGGCAGCCTTGCGATCTTTTGACGCCCCGTGGAGTCCAGTCGGTAATGGCTCTAGTCCAGTGGTCGTCTCTAAATCTCATTATGTGTCCAGCCCATCTGATTTTCAAGGCCTTGTACCTGATTCTTGACCATCGATGGAGGTTGGAACTCTGGATTCTTTCTCTCATTTGAGTGAAACGTGATACTCCAAGCATAGCTCTTTCTTTCTTTCTTTCTTTCTTTCTTTCTTTCTTTCTTTCTTCTTCCTTTCTTTCTTTCTTTTTTAATTTTTATTAGTGAGACATCATGGGGTACAGTTGTAGACTTACAAATTTTTGTGCTTGGGTTTCAATTATACAGTGATCAAATACCCATCCCTCCACCAGTGCCCATTTCCCACCACCACGAATCCCAGTATACCTTCCCCCCACTTCTCCCCCCCCATCCCACCCTGAAATTCCTCTTTGGGAGACCCGAATAGCGTTCTCATCCTGTTTTTTGTAGAGCCCAGGTCTCTGAGGCATATGTTAATGAAGGAACAACAGTGGAATCGAAGAGATGTGCCCGGAACCAGAGGTTCTTCATCCTCTTAGCTATTTCTTTGACGCTCTTGAAGGCGTTCTAAGTCGCTCTCTTCCTCCTGCACAAATCAGGTGCCAGGTCATTTGTCATGTTGACTTCTCGACCTAGGTGCACATGACTGTTGCATTCGGAGATGTTCGTTCCATTGAGAGTGAATGGAATGTCAAGAACAAGAC